CTTATTTCTCGCAGTTTTTATAGTGCAGTGTAAGAAGTCCCGTAAAGATTACTACCTTGTGCACCGCACTCCAAGAAATTTAAAAAAAATACGCGCCACCTAGCGGCGCACTGCATTTAACTATTGGGATTTCCTGCCTACTTTTTGCATGTTTAACATTTAAAAATGTTTTTTTTGAATGTTAAAAAAAAACATTTTTTGCACCAGTTTCTTGAAGCCGTTTCCTTTTTTCACGGGAAACACGTGGTCAGGGTATTCCGACCTGGGTTTTAATGGGTTGGGTTTTATTGGGTTTTAATGGGTTTTAATGGGTTGTAAATGAATAAAACCCAGTGGGTTTTACCATGTTAAGTGGGTTTTATTTGGGTTTTAATGGGTTTTATTGGGTTTTAATTGAGTTTTACTTAAAAACTACATTCTAAAAGTTAAATACATCTCCTATACGTTAGAAGACGTTATCTCAATTCATTCTAAAGCAGTTTATTTCATTACTATTCTAATATATGAAAATTCGGAACAATTCAATAATTGACTCCATCCTTTAGCACCACAGATTTCAAGTGTTATAAAACAAAATAATTTCCGAATAGATACAAATTCCTAATTATTTTTGTTAAGTTATTACTTAAAACTAATAAAACCCTATAAAACCCATTTAAACCCATTAAAACCCAAATAAAACCCAATTAACATGGTAAAACCCATTAAAACCCATGGGTTTTATAATTTTTGATTAAAACCCTGGGTTTTTCCGAACCCTGCACGTGGTAAATCAACATTCACGAGTATCCCACGCTTCCATTCACCTAGTTAAATCTCATCTTTCCCTTCACGTAACTTGAGAAAATCCCCCCAAATCTCACAAACCCCCATGTTCCGCGGCTTCTACAAATATGTACATAAAACGAGCAGCATCAGCAGCACCACAGTTTCAAAAACTCGTCCACTTCTCCACTTTCCGTAACGATGTAATGTATGTACGTAACATGTAATAATCAGGCGCTCAAGTCCAATTTCACCACGACGACCACCTTGATCGCATCCATCCATCCATAACTAGCAAACTTTATATATTTCGTATTATCATTCCCCCGCACTTAAAGTTTTCCCTGCCACGAAAACACCCAACTTCTCGCTGCCCGGGTATTTATCGCTCCGTGCGAAAAGGTAATAATGGGCTGCACTCCTATCGAAACAATCAATTTACAAAATTGATTTTACTCAAGTTTCCATACTTTCACCACCACCAGCCACGACTCACGGTGGAATTCGATACGTGGTGAAAGTCTCAAACTAATTGTGGGGAGGGGACTATCTCAGGGGATGCTCTCCGATTTTCAGAAAATCGGAGATAAATTAAATTAGTATGAAATTTGGGAATGACACGATCTACAAATGGGCAGAGATATTTGCATCCGAAGCATACCTGTTCACTATCATTCATGTGACTGATTATGATAGAGAATGATAGTGAATGAAAATGAATTTCCTGTGATTTGAAGCGTCAGTCATTTCAGATGAGTGACTGTGAATGAATGGATTTATCACTCTTTCATTTTTCACCCTATGCTTAATACGTGAGGCGAAGTTAGAAATGAAGTCAGATGAAGTGAAATGAATTGAGTTTGAAAGAAAACGACTTACAAGGGAAACCTCCGAGGTGCCGGTTGAATCCAGGGTTCCCACCTATACCAAAATGACCACAATATGCGATTTATGACGTAAAGTGAAGGAATTTACGTGCAAAAATCACTTTTCGTCAATCTGTGACGATATTTGTGACGAGCGTTTGAGCACGGGTGAGAGTGGATTCAAGTGACGAAGCGTGCGACTCGGAGATTGCAAAGAGTTCTCGCATAATTCAAATTCTCAATTAATAGAACTGTAATTCTCATCTTATTCATAACTGTGAAAAAAATCTTGTGGACGTCAATTAGTGTCGTCATTAGTTAGTTGGTGGTGATGGTATTCAACAAAAAAGTGGTCGAAACAGAGTTGCAAATTAAATAGATGACAATTGCACATTTGATGAAACTTTCCATTGGAAATACATAAATCCATTTCTGCTTTTCATGTTGATGAGAATAACAATTCTTGAACATTTTAAAATGTATCTTTATGTACATGTTTATATGTATTTAATTAAGTAACCATCTACATATTTAATGTGCTTATCGTTTCAAAATCAGTCCCAGAATTGGACAATTTATTCCATAAATGAAAACACTTTTTTGCAATGTTCAAATTTAGGACGATTTATTTGTTGGTCTACCGTTGATTCCAAATTTACCATTTTGCCAACTTCAAGACAGTCTCAAAAATTATAATTAAGTTTGCAATTATGAGTAAGAATTTTTAAAATTAAATGAAAATTGTGGTTTGCAATAAAAATGAAATATTTATAAACACGATCATGTGTTCAGCCAGCAATCTCCGCCGGACGTCTCACGACGAAACTCTATGCTCTCCGTGCTCACACGCTCGTCACAAATATCGTCACAGATTGACGAAAAGTGATTTTTGCACGTAAATTCCTTCACTTTACGTCATAAATCGCATATTGTGGTCATTTTGGTATAGGTGGGAACCCTGGATTCAACCGGCACCTCGGAGGTTTCCCTTGTTAGTGTGAATGAAAATCTTCAGTCAGAAATCGAGGTGACTGAATTTTGAATGAAAATTTTTTGTTTGAACAGGTATGATCCGAAGAGGAGAAAATGCACAGTAAATTTGGAAATTGTATCATTTGTCAACTTTAGGACGTGTTTTCTCCTCTTCAGATGCAAACATCTCCGCCAAACGTGTCCATCCGGAGATCGTGTCTTTCTCAAACTACATCCTAATTAAATTTATTCTCAATTGAGACTAGTTTCCCCAAAATCTGAGAGCATCCGCTGGGAGAGTTCCCTTGTAAGGAAATTTCCTGCAGGGGTTTAGAGCTCAGTGTGAGGTTTGCTATCTATCCATGTTTTTAAGTAAGTATTGATCAGTCAAGTATTCCCTGAAAGCTGCTCGAGTAAATAAAGTAAAGGTAAATTTACCCGTGGAAAAGATGAGTCGAATTTCATAGATGATTTCCACCTAAATATTTTGTTGAGAGCCAGAAACTTGCTAAAAAAAGTATCCCATCCTTCACATCGTTTTTTTCGAAAACATACATAACTCTGAATATAATAGAACAGGTAAATATTGATTGGAAAATATTTAAGCGTGATGAAATTTCTGCCCGTCAGAAACTTATTAAGTGCCCACTTAATAAGCATTACGAGCGGGCTGAAATTCTAATCAAATCCATCACGCTTAATCATTTTCTAATCAATATTTATCATTAATTTAGTCGAAGGGGTGATTTTCAAGTATTTTGAGACCCTGATTAAACAATTGTTCAGTTTTTGACCTAATTTTTTCAAGTTTTTCCATTTTTCCCTAAATATTTCTTGAATTAAAGCAGGATGTAATTCACAAATTTCAAATTATTTATAAAACAAATTTGCTGTGTACGTAAGATCCTTCCGAATTACATGATATGACGCCACAGAGAATTACTTAATTACCCAGAAATTCTATGGTAATGCTAAATTTATCACCATCTGAATTGTTTAACTGTCTTTCTTTCGGGTAATATCACAGAAATCACGGGGTGTAAAAATCCCTCCGAAATCACAAAGAGTGCTTAACACAGTTCAAACCCTACCAGCGATGGGACACACCGTTTAATAAAAGTGTATGAATTACTGTGCTGGTATTGAATTTGTAATACCTTCCTACCGGGTTGGAAGCAGTTTGTTTCTGAAAATGAGTGATAATTTTTTCATTACCGTAACATTACTTGGATGGTTATGCTCGTTATTACCTGTGCAGGTAGAGTTATATACACTGTAAGGTATCCAGTATAGTCACATGTATGTACTCCGTACTGGTATTGATTCGGTAATAATTCCGTACCGGATTAAGTATAGTTTGATTCTGAGTGGTAACGATCACATTACTACGCCGCCACCACCATTTTACCGATGCTGGTAGAGTCATATATGCACCCCGGTCGGTAATGATTTAACACCAAATTTCTACGAGTTTAAATCGCACGTGAATTTATACTCTTTAAACGACACGGATTTCATGCCTTTCTAAATACCACTTTGAGTTCCTCAATCCATCGCCACTTTATTGTTAGGAACTCTATTTGCCCACAGATCAAGGCATGATCTCCCGATTTCCTCGGTAAAAGCGGTGCATTTTCCAATTTATCCAAAGTAAATCACCACCTTGGTTCTCCAACCGTGACAAAACGCTCATATCCCAAATAACAGAGTTTCCGCTGCAAGTAAGACCACCACGTGCAAGAAATAACTGGGAGAAAGTGGTTTTTTTGCAAGTAAATATTTTGACCTGGGAGAAATGCACGACCTTTCAAAATGCTCAGTCTTTCAGAATTTTTTAAATAATTTTGTGACTTCATTCTTTGTAATCTTGTCGAAAAGTTAATTTGCAAATTTACGAACAGTGTTTACGGTACACGAAACGACATCCCGCAAAATAAGAGCAAGCACATAGTTTCTGGCAGAAAAATATTTTGATTTGGGAGACACGTGGCACGTGTGTACGGCACGTGGCCAGATGGCGCTCATTTCTTGCACTTCCTCCCAGTTTCTTGCACCTCGCAATTCTTGCATCTATTTCTTTCCATCCAAATAAATTTTGAAAATACACTAGAAACGAAACACTGTCAGCTATTTATCAAAATGTGTCCAAAACACCCCCCAAAATTACCCCCATTACCTCCAAATCAATTCACTACTTGACGAATCGCATCTCTGACATCACATCTTTTAAAAAGTGGTGAAAAATACCCCTAAAATTGCCCCATTATGCACAATTTGCCTTCATGTTCAATATTTATAGACAAACTCTTACACATTTATCTACGTTATCAAAGCAAGGTTATTGCATTTCCTAGTAAGAAACAAGCGTAACGTGGTTGTATTTATTTATTTTTGCAGATACGTCGCAGAATTGGGCTCCGCGTTGGATTACCTTCAGCAGAAACGAATTATTCACCGGTAATCACCTTTTTGCCTCAAATTTCTCTCCTTCTTTGCTTGTTTATGCCGTCTCGTTAGTAGAGCACGGATATTTATTTGTGAAAAATATATATATAATATTTAGGAGCAAAAAAAAACGCCAAAATATTTACAAAATATGTGTCAAAAAAATTAGAATTTTCACAAAATTTTTATTTTTGCACATAATATTCTGGATTTTTCTCAAAACACAAAACAAATAAATAATATTCCATTAAGAATAATAATCAGAGGAAGGAAATTTACGAAAAATTAGTATTAACGAAAAAAATATGTACACAAACCTAATTTTCCCAAAATTTATATTTTTTAAAATATTATGCTCCCGTTTTTTTGTCAGCAATTCTTTCCGTAAAAAAACTTCGTTTCGTCACATCGCTAGAATATTTACAAAATATGTACAAAGTTTTAAAATTAAATATAAAAGTTTTACGTATTTTTGAAATAATTGCGGAAATATTTGTGTCTAAGAGATCTAGAAATTTGTAAAAAATAATATTTTTGTGATTACACACACCCACAAAACTTGGTCATTGGTTCTCATCAACTCAAAAACTTTAAACTAAATACATAACCGTCTAAAAACTCTAAAATGAATACATATCCGTCCCCTGTTTATTACTAATGGCGTGGCAGAAATGCGTCTCATCTCCTGGGCAGATTTGTGTATGCACATACATCTCGCAAACCAACCACCAGGACTAGCAAACAAATCAAACCCTTGGTTTTTAAGAGGAGGAGAAAGTCGGTGAGACTCCGCGTCTGCCGCGTCTGCTGCTTTCTCCGTGTGGGGAAAGGATTGAAAAAAGAGGATTACCAGAAAAAAACTACAGTCCTGTCAAAATATCCTGTGGCCATTTCCTGCCTGGTCGTCGTCCTTCTCAGAATCGTCCTCTTCTTATTCTCCTTCTTCAGAAGAGGAGAAGAGAATCTATGTAAGAGCATTCATTCAGCAGGGGAGCAAAAGCAACCAGGGTTCGCCAGAGATGCAAGAATTGGACTAAAAAATGTACGGAAAAATTTGACCATAAAATAATTTCGAAAGAAAAATTGCACAGTAAAATATATCGAAAAATTGGACAGTAAAATATATCGAAAAATTGGCCGATGTAATATTTTGGAAGAAGAAAATGGACAGAAAAATATACTGGAAAATTTGACGATCAAATAATTTTAACAAAGAGAGAAAGTCCAGCCGAGAAGAAATCATGTTGAACTGGTGCTCACGTAAAATATAAAAAAAACTGGTACTTATCGAAAAATCGAAAAATATATAGACAAATTAGACAAAATAAAACTTTAAAAAACACCTACAAGAAATTATTCTCTTTTGTAGGAATAATTTCCTTCACGAGCGGAAGAAAGGTACCCCACCTAGTGGACAATCTCTATAATTAAGTCTAGAGCAAAGTATGCCCCGCTAGGTGGCGCTTATCCATTTCTCGCACTGCAGAAAATGTGAAAAACCTGCCCGAAATCAAGCACTACTTTCTCTCTCCAGCTCGTCCAAATCGTCAAGAAAGAGAAAGCAACCTAGAACTCATATCGAGCTGATGATCTCGCTCATTTCTTGCACTGCACGAAATATTCAAAATGCATCTAACCAAACCCCACTTTCACTCTCCAGCTCGTCCAATTCAGTCCAAACAAACCCGAAGAAAGAGCCCATCCGAGAGAAGAACTCATGTTGAGCTGTGGAGAAAAAGAGAGAAGAAAAAAAATTGGTCCATGGAAGCGTTTCGACCTCCTCCGTCCTCCTGATCCTCTTGTCTTCTCCTTTCTTCAAAGTTGTCCAAGCGGGTGAAAACATTTCAACGGACAAAACTCTACTCAAATCTCGACTTTTCCTCTTAATGAGAAAGTCAAATCTATCTTCGGACAACTTTTCTCCACACGAAAAAAGAAACTACGGCTTAACCAAAGTCGGTCAAATTATAAAAATTTCCTGAAAACTTTCCCTAATCCATTTCAGCTCTTCGCTACTCACTCACTCACTTACTTTCACTCGAATGAAAATGAAAATGCGATGAGAAAATGAACAATCTTAATCCCGCTTAATTTCCGGGTGGACTAATTGTATCTGGATTTTTTTTTGTGGCCGCGGAGACGGGTTACATAATTTAATGGCGGGTAGTTTATAGAGCGTAGCGTAGTGGGTAGATTTGTGGTGATAATCTTGGAATTCGCCTCCATGTTTTACCAAGGGGGTAAAAATCTTTGTGGAAATGAGCTATTTTTGAGATTAAGGTTTAGATTTCCGGGGGGTGTTAGAGCCACAAAACGAGGAGAATCTACGTACAAAAGTCATGCGGAAGTACACGTTTGGTGAAGATTGTAACTTTTTATAGCTGTAAAAATACATGGTTTTCACGATTTTTTAAAAACAAATGCGGCATTTTGTTGTTGTAATAGCCTTGGAATTACAAATTATGGGCACAAAATACAAAATAAAAAATACAAAACTACAAAATACAAATCCTCCGAAATATGTCAAAAATTTGGTAAGAGTTTGAAAGCTTACTGAATTTACGATGTTACCAAGGCATGCGTGAATTGTGTCGTTATTAACCGTAAATATGGCATAAAAAGCGGGTAAAACCCATCCGTTTTTTGCGTAACCTTGTCCCGCTTAAATATTTATTTACTCACTAATGACTCTTCTCTCGGACAGGGACATCAAGCCGGATAATATCCTCCTCGATGAGCAAGGCCACTCGCACATTGCCGACTTTAACGTCGCCACGAAGCTCGAGGAAGGCAAGAAGTTCGCCACGGCACAAAGTGGGACGAAACCGTACATGGGTAAGTTCCAGATTAAGAGGGAAATGATAATGTGATCGCGAGGATCAGTGGCGGCGGAAGAGGGGGGACAGGGGGACATTGTCCCACCAGAAATTCAGAAAAATCCTGTGTATAAGTCCCTCCTCGATCCTATCTTACAATGATAATGTCCCCAGACCTTCTGCCGCCACTGGCGAATATTGCTTCGCTAGATTAAGAGGGAAATGATAATGTGATCCTGCCCGGATTAGTGGGAAGGAGATAATGGATTAGTGCTGGATTAAGCCTTAGTTTTTTAATCAATTTCTTAAATATTCATTTAACTTAATTTAATTATGTATGTAGCTCCCGAGATCTTTGCATGTTCCGTGGACGAAACGCCGGGATACGACTTTGCAGGTATTACGATTATTATTATTAACTGTGTGAACGCATCTTACTTATTAGATAGTGAATTTGAGTGAGAAATACCCCAATTCGGGGATTATTTCTTTGCGTAGATCTTTTAAAATAGAAAACGTGTCAAAAAACACGTCAAAAAACACGAGTTAAAGTTTATAATTCGGGGAATATTTTTTTTGGCGTGGATCTTCTAAAGTAAAAACACGTGTCAAAAAGCACGTGTCAATGTTTAGGTTAGTTCAATGACACATTTTTAATGCATGTCAGAAATTCTTAAATTCGGCATTTGTAAAAAATTCTAAAATAAACTTTTAGGGAAAATATTCTAATTTTTTTTTTTGAAATTGCCAGCTTAATTTGTTTAGTAATTAGCTAATTATTAATCCTATTAGTCAAGTGGTGATTGATTATCACAAAACGCGTGTTCCGTTCCAGGATAAATTTACAATATTCAAAAAACACTAGAAATATCTAAATAAGTCAAAAATTCTTATGTAAATTCCAAAATTTTGTAGAGAAGATACTTTAATAATCGTTCTTTCCCTGCAACCACGTCGGGACCAATACGCCCTTAAGTTTTCTATGAGAAATTTGCAATATGCGACAAAATCCCTAAATTTTGTACAGAAAATTCTTTAATAATCTTCATTTCTCTTCGATCTCAAAATTTCTTATGCAAATTTGAAAAATTTGCAAAAATACGACAAAAAAATCTGAATTTTGATACAGAAAATATTTAACTAATTACAATTATTATACTTGCAGTGGACTGGTGGTCATTGGGGATTGTGGCGTACGAGTTGGCAGCAGGGCGCCGACCGTACGAGATCCATTCGCACTACTCGAACAAAGATATTCGTCTCGTGCACCTCACAGCCACGCCCAAATGGCCTTCCGCATGGCCCCCAGAGTTTACCCAGTTGGTCAAAGAGGTACTTTTTCATCGCCTCCTCCTCCTCCCTACTTTCACCAGGGGTTCGCTTTCACCACATTTCCTTCACTGCAAGAAACTGCAAGAAATGTGCGCCATCTAGTCACGCGCCGTATGAACTATTTACAGCGGCGAGAAGAAGTTTCTTGCGTCTTGCATTTCTCCCAGGTCAAAATATTCATCTGCAAGAAACCACCTATTTCTTGCACGTGGTTACTTTCACCTAGTATTTTGTTTCTCGCGGGTTTACTAGATTTCTTGCACTGGGAAGAAAGCAACGCAAGAAACGTGAAGTGCAAGAAATTGCAATATAATTCCAGAAATTGGGAGAAAGTGCAAGAAATATGCGCCATTTAGCCACCCGCCATATGAACTATTTGTAGCGTCGGGGAACTAATTTCTCCCACCTTGCATTTCTCCCAGGACAAAATATTCCCCTGCAAGAACCCACTTTCTCCCAAGGGGTTCCTTCCTTTCACCCGAAACACTGCTCCTTTCCTTTCATCGAAATTTCGCAGTGACAGAATTTCACTCACTTTCTCCTCTTTTCGCTTTCTTTGCAGCTGCTGGAGGTTGATGCCTTAGAAAGAGTGCGCTGTTTACAAAGTCTTCAAAATCAACCCATCATGCGAGACGTTTGCTTTGATGCTGTCCTGGAAATGAAAACCAATCCGGTCTTCGTACCACCGGTGAGTCAGCCAGAGTGGTTTCTGCTATTATAGCCTCCCACCAATTTACAAATCCTACCCACGGGCCCAGGAACACGTGGCGGGGACAATTTACAAAAAATTTGTCCTCATAATACGATGAGACTTTGACGAGACCACGATAATTATGTAGCCTTACGTAAATAATTAAGCACGTGTTTCATGATTTTTCATAATTTCGAAATTATGATGGAATCCGTAACCGAAAATTTGCATGTTTATCCCTCACAACAAAATTTTCACGATAAAAATGCACATTTTCTCTCACGTGCACCATTACGTATGGTCGAGGCGTTATAATTAAGTACATTTTTGCATCAGTAATGCATTTTAAAATGTGCTTAATTTTAATTCCCCGACCATAGAACTTTGTTTAAATTGAGCATGATGAAAAATCCGGAAACACGTGTTTAATTATTTATGTTAGGCTACATAATTATCGTGGTTTCGTCAAAATCAGTTCTTAGAAAAATTATGGTTGTCATGCTAAAGTTTTTAGGTTGTGATGAAATTGAGATTTTTTGTATGGATTCAACAGCAAAGACAGCGGAACATAGAGTGGGGACGAATTTTTGAGTCTCAAGTTTCCCTTTTTCCATATATTCACATCGCGATTTTGAAACGTACCCACCTACGTGCGTTTTTATAAAATGAAGATTTTATTGCATGTAAAAATCCATAATTTTTAGGTTTACAACGTTACGAGTGTAGAATTTTGATTTCTTTCCTTCATTAAAATTGATAAAAAATAAATATAAAATAGACGAAAAATAATAAGTAGAAATTAAATATTTTCTCATGGAAGAAAAAAATCGAAATTCTAGTCTTCTAACTTTGTAAATTTAAAATTGGTCGATTTTTTGATGCAATAACATCTTCATTTTTTAAATAAAAAACGCATGGCGATGAACACGTTTCAAAATCGCCATTTGCAAAAAGTAAAAGTTGAGTCACAAAATTTCAAACTCAAAAACCCGCATGTACTGGATCCTTAAACCCTGTCGTCCCCCAACCTCTGTTCCGCCGTCGCTGCGGTTGAAACCATACAGAAAATCTCAATTTCATCACAACCTGAAAACTCTATGTAGAATGATAGATATATTTTTTCTGAGGAAAATAAACCTGAAAAACAAGGTGATTAACTAAATTCAACGTCAAAGTCAGAAGAATTTTTTTTCCAAATGATATCTTTTCCCCGTAAAAATAATAAGCCAGACAGGCAAAGAGAGAAAGCTTTATGTAGTTCGTATCGAAAATAATGACACGAACATTGATTTGTCAAAGACTTTGGCATCATCATCATAATCATCATTTCTGCCTGGATGGCTGATTTTGCTTAGTTGAGCTTTCCCCTTAAGGTGCCATTGGATGAGGATTTTTGATGTTATATCTTGTTAGTGTCCATGTAATTTTGAAAATTCGTACAATTTACAAATTTTTTATAAGCTGCAAAATTAGGGCAAGAATTCCGTCAGTTTTAAGGAACTTAAAGTGCCATTGGATGACGATTTGATATTTTGCATAGATTTTAAATCTCACTCCACCCCAATTCAATTTCTTACAGGCTAAAATGACATGAATTTATGAGCGTTAATATGCTTTAACTCTTCATATTTTAATGTTTTTGGTATTACAAAACTATCAAGCAAAAAGTTAAAAAAAAATTGCCAACTCATATGGCATTTAAAAAAATAAATTTCCTTAAAAAATAATTCACAATTTAAAAAAATAGGTAGTACCTAAAATTTACTTTACATTAAAGTACAAAAAGTTAAAAAATACATTTATCTTTAAAGTCATGAAATTCATGCAGTTTTAAAAATTTGAATTTAAATTGACACTCCAACAAATCCCTCATCCAATAGCACCTTAAGCGAAAAAAAGTCCCTTCCCTGCTTTCAAAGGCCATCTACTTTGAGAGTAGAAATGACATTGAAATATTGGAAATGATGAAATGTGACCAACTTTCTCTTCCTACTTTCTCCCTCCCTCGAGTTATTTCATCCCAGACTAAACTACTCCTTGATTAGGGTACACGAGGCGGAGAGTTCTTTTATGTAAACACACAATGTTTGATTGATTTCTTGCAGAAGGGGCACTTAAACTGTGATCCAACGTTCGAATTGGAAGGTATGTAACATATATATATATTTCCCTTTATTTATTTCCCCCGATTTTCTTCTATCCATCAGTCTCACTCGCCAAACATATTTTTCCTGGAGGAATGATTCCCCGAGCAACATGAGTTACATGGTTAAAACGACGGTTTGTCTGTGTTTCATAATTTTGAGGAATTATTCCAACTTTTTTCGAAAACCATTCCCGATAAGTGTTCATAATCTGATAACATTTTTGTTGTATAATTAAATCCTTTTCTTCAGAAGAAATGCATATAAAAAAGGGTGTAATTTTAATACACAAACCATAAAGTTACAGGTTTGTCCACCTTTCTTCGAATTTGTAGCGGATATCCAGTTATTTACAAGCAAAATTATGCCCCGAAAAATTTGGACGAGACACGCAAACGTGTAAAAATTTAATCTTTTTTTGCATAAATTTAGTCCAAATTTACTCAGAAATACTTTCTGTAGAGCTAATTTTACAGAAAACAATGCATAATTATGCACATATATACCGTTCTGAATAATAAAAACCTATCCAAATATTCTGCAGGACTATGCAAAAAAGCTTGCAAAATACAATATCCATCCTACTTTTACTGCAGAATTCGACACTATGACTTCTACTCGGGTATACTTTCACCACTTTCTTTCTGTCCACGTGCTTATCGGGTCATGTTGATACCGTCCGTCCGTCAGCGAGCTATCTATTGATTCGCAGGCTTCAATTGTGACCAGAGAACAAGCCGTTATTTCCACACGTTTGGCAGGTGCATGCAAGGAGAGAATAACTTTATTGCTTTCACCCATATGTTCTCCACTTTGCTGCAAATTGAGGCAATCTATCTTCACAGACGTTAAGTCTACCGTTCATGCAATTGTGCTCATTTACAAGGCCTCCGCTGAGATGTGTCCAGTCTGAATCAGGCGAAAAAGGACGGTTCGAAACTCGAAGGTTTTTTGCGATTTTTAGAAACCAGTTTAGACGGCATAATTAATTTGTAGCTTATAATATTCCACAAGGAATTATACACAGGGTACGGATATGCATTTACGAAAACCACCTATAATTTTCGAAAAAAACACAAAAATTGAAAAATATGTTGGCTACAAACTGAGGCAATCTATTCATATCCGCACAGGGTACGGATATGAATTTAGGAAAAAAATAAAATTTACAAATATTTATGCATGCCCCATAAAAAAATTCACGCAAAAATTTCAGACTTTATCTTAAATTCCATCAAACCCGTGATATCTCCCTTTTAACAAAAATCTTTCAAAATTCTACTCCAAAATATTTTTTTTAACAATTTTTGTCCTGTGGTGTTACTCGTTTAAAAAATGTTTTGGGACAAACTTCAAATTTTTGATAGGTGTCTTTCTTTCCAAAAAAACCACGTGTTTTGCGGAAAAATTCACCCAAAAAACACGCCACCCTGGTCTCACAGCTTGATTATGTACTTTCTTCTTACTAGGAATTCACGCGTGGTGGTGGTGGTGGTTTGAGGAGGAAAGAGAGCAGATTTTTTTTTCTCGAGGGGAAAAAGATTAATGATCGATTCGAATTATTCAATGCCCCATTACATTAATTCTGATTAGGTGAATTACTCCACTGCCGGATCAAAAGTAGTCACATGTCAATTTTTCATCAGTTTCCTACAGCTCTCATTATTTACCTGCCTACCTACCTCCCTTTGTAAGGCGTAGTTGATCGATCCCGATTTTCCCATCGGGTCAAATTCCTCTCCTTATTCTTTATTCTTTAAGAAAGAAAATGTGTATGGGGGAGAGGGGGCGGTGGGTATAATCTCTTCTCAGAAATATAGGGCGTACGACAAGGTAACCTTCGTAAAGAAATTTGGCGTATCGTAAAATAGCATCATTTCACCTAATAATTTTTGGCCGCAAATTTATCCCGGAAGTATTGCATATGTATGAGTCATAAACATTTGTCCTTCTTTTGTTTAACGGAAAATGGGGGTACAATCTTCCCAGAAATATTCGGCGAAGTCATTGCATCATTCATAAAACATTGGCATATCTTAAAATTGCATCATTTTCATCATTTCACTTACAACTTTCGGTGGGATTTTTGGTCACAAATTTACCCACGAAACATATCGCAAAAGTCATCTGTTAACCTCTTGGCTACCAAATTATGTATAATTGTGTCCCGATTTTTATCAGGTGCCTATCTACCCCGCTACTTTTCGAAATGTTACATTGCCATTACATAGCCAATACCAATACATATTACATAGCCGATACCAATTACACTCGAGATCGTTTTGGTTTTCCTAGCATTATTTTCGTATTATTTTGAAAAATATACGTAAAATTTAATGTTTCCTTAATTTATAAATTTATAGAAATGATCGTGGAAAGTCGACCATTGCACAAGAAGAAGAAACGTCTGGCTAAACAGCGCTCGTTGCGAGAAATTCAGAGCTCCCCGTCTTGTGAGCAAGTAAGTTCTAAACTAATTTATTATGCAAGTAAATAATTAATGCGTGCCACTTTTAGGTTAAATAAATACATTACAAATCGCTTTATTATACCTAAAATTGTGAAATGTGCGGAAAGAATTAACCGCGTAATTCAGGAACTTGCAATTATCTAAGGTCTTAAAGCACGTGTAACTCAAGGAATAAAAATTATGCCTACAAAATAAGAATTAAATGTCTGAAAATAAATTAGGTCCCATTTCTTAACAAAATTACTAATTTTTTTCAAAATTTTAAAATTTATGCAATTGTCAATTTTTTGCAGTCAAGTTTGGCATCCTTTCAGACTCCAAGCTTAAAGACCCCGCTTAGATAAATGCAACTTTTCATACTGTAATGTAAAATTAATTTTTGATACTACAAAACTTTCAATTTGAAAAAAAAATTCTAAGTAATTTGCCATTTGTTAACAATAAATTTCCTCCAAAATAAATCCGCAAATTTCAAAATCTTAAAGTTTAAACATATAGATTTTATTAATTTTAAAGGGAAATTGTAAAAAAAATGACAAATAAATAAACTACTTTTCCAACTTCAAGGCTTGAGTACCGAAAAATGAACTGTACATTAAAGTATGAAAAGTTGAATTTATTACAAAACTCGTGAAATGGACGCCATTTTAGAAATTCGGATTTAAAGATTAAAGATCTATATGCCACATCATCAATTACACCACCTTAATTCCAGCGATAAGATGAGAAATAGCCGTAATTCTCAACTTGCCCCACAATTCCCCCAATCCTGAAGCATATACTTTCTCCGAGTGAGAAGAAACGTGAGACGGGCAACTTTCCCTTTTTCCCCATCACCACTTTCGCTCCTTCTCGCGGAGAAAGCAGTATCCAAAATCAATATCCCGAGAAAGTTAGTCCTTAAATCCTGAGAAATCTGGGAGATGGCGGTGGCGAGGGAATTTCCAACTTTCTCTCTCCCCGGCCCCTGATCTCGGTTTATTCGTTCCCCATTTCTCCACATCTTCTTCCTACATGCACTTTCTCTCGCAGCCAACCTGCTCTTCAGGCTTATTCACGTCAACGACTCAGCTCGCCACTGAAAATCACTAGTACTTAACTCGTAAAATCCGCGCGTTTGATACCGTAATTTTACAAAATAAGGAGACTTGTTCTGAACAAGTTTACAAAAATTTGTTTGTTAACCTCAGACTTCAAATTTGTTTGGAAATTTCTTCAATAAATCTGCCAATTTTTTATATATAATTTCGCAAATTTGCCCATACTACAGCAAAACTCTAATTTAAACCGCAATTTCCAGGATTTCTCACATTTTGCGAAAGACTTGCCTACAACTACGTCTAAAATATTACACTCTTATACTTTGCAAGATATCCACTTCCTCCAAAAATTTGCCAATTTATAATTTCGCAAATATTCAAATTCTAATCTATACCCCTAATTTGCAGGAATTCACACTTGACCCTCTCGCCGAAGAGTTTACCACGTTCAACCGCCAACGTCAACTGGACCGGATGGAGCGCGAGAGGAAAGAGCAGGAATGGGAGAGCGAGCTCTTGACCGCGATGGAGGCGTCGGGTTCCGCCTCGCTCGCCGCCTCCACGTCCACGTCCACCTCAACCCCCAAGCTTTCCGAGGATCCTGCTGACCACGGAGATGACGATGCCGATGGTCCCGGTCCTGGCCCCTCCTCCTCCATGGCGAACCACCCCCGCAGCAGCGCCGACTCGAAGAAGTCCGCCTGGGCGAAGAGGCGCTCCATCACGATGCCCGAAGGCGACAAAGTTTGGCGCGTGTCGAAACAGAATAAACAATAAATTCGTGACCGGAAATCGTCACACTTCGACCAACAATCACCTCGTTACAGAAGGGTGCATGCATGCATATTGTTAAACTAAGGGTAAAAAGTTAGGGTGAATAGAGATCCGGTTGAATTTTTTGTATTGCTTATTATAACATGGATCCGATCCGATCCGTAAATAGGATCGGATAGAATCCTTGTTATAGTAAACGAACGGATAACTCGGTCGAATCGAATCTTTGTTATAGCAAACGATCGGGTAATCCGATCGGATCGGATCCTTGTTACAGTATCCGGCCGGATAATCCGGTCGGATCGGATCCATGTTATAGCAAACAGCCGGATAATCCGGTCGGATCGGATCCATGTTATAGCAAACGGCCGGATAATCCGGTCGGATCGGATTATACCGGATTACCATATTTGTAAAAACGAGTACCCTAATTCCACCCACATCACAAAACACCCCTTTAATGATTTGGAATACTTTAGTGTTTACAAAAATGTTGTGGAAAAAATTGAAATTTTTGAAAAACCACCAAAATTTTCACCGACAATTTCAAACCAGAAAGTTTTGATAATAAATATTTAGTTTGTGGCACATGATTTTGCCTCATGCAAATACGCAGTTCGAATATGATGTAAAAAATGAAAAATTCTAATTTTCAGATTTATTCAATATTTGTAACATACAATTGACGACAATTATTTTTGTCACCAAATTATACGCCTGGTTACTCACTTAAGATAAGCCCAGGAATTGAGGATAAAGTACGTATGCAATGATAATCATGAGCTAATTAGTTTCATTTTAATGGAAGAAAAATATCATTTTTTGCTCCGTTCTACTCTTCATAAAAAATATTGAAATAAGACCAGAGAGCGGATATGTATTTATTTTCAACGTTTTCATTTTTTGTTATCTCACGATCAAACTTTATGGATGTGTTCCCTACCTCGTCTAGATAAAAATATTCCAGCTATTATTTTATGTTTCCACGATTTTTCGTAAATACATAGCCGCCCTCTGAATAAAACACATGTCAAGGATGTATACTATTGCAAAAACAAGCACCAGGGTTAATGCGGTCAGAACGTGACCAGCTATTACATAGTTCTTACTAGGGATCATACCTAGGTGTCAGGCGAGGTAAGGGTTGCCAAAATTTGCAAAATTTCTACAAATTTAACATCAAATTTAAAATTTAAATTTAAATTCCGCAAATTTTCTAAATTTCTGGGGAAATTCCTTCAAATTTCGTCAGAAATTGGGCACATTTTCCTACCAAAATCAACCCTTCGCACCTCATTTGACACCTCGATAGTATCCCTAGTGAGCCAAAATCTATATCTACAGTATTTATATTTAGCTGTAATAATCAATCAGTAAAATATTTAACTAATTAATTAACTAAATCGTTAAATAAATTGATCCAAAAACAAGGTTTCATTCTTGTAAATAAAACTAACTAATGTAAACTCTGTATTATCCGTAAGTCTGTATGTCATACCCTTAAAATAAATGTACCAAATCTTTCCAAAATTGTGATAGCTGTCAGATCCCCTCATTCCCTGCAAAAAAAACAAATGTGTCTACCAAAATTGAAAAATTATGGGTAAAAATATGAAAAAATATTGAAATTATTTGTACATATAAAATGTAAGTTTTAAAAACGGAATAAAATCGGTAAGCAATTATATCAAAATTTGGCAAGCCTTTTAAAATTTTTATTACAAAATTAAAAACATATGTAAGGCATGCCCCTAAAATAAAAGGGCACATTTTAAAAATTATGGAAATTATTTGTACATCTAGAACGCTATTTAGACAACGGAATAAAAACGGTTAGCAATTATTTCAAAATTTAGCAAGGATTTCAAAAGTTTAATCAAAAAATTAAATGGCAGATTTTTTTAAAATAAAAAATAGAGGACACATCTAAAATAAAACCGGAAATTTTAAAAACATCCATGGAAATTATTTGTACGTCTAAAATATAAGTTTTAAAAACGGAGTAAAAATGGTAAGAAATTATTTAACAATTTAGCAAACATTTTAAAATTGTTACTACAAAATTAAATGTCAAATCCTTCAAAAATCAAAATATAGATCATCTCTCCAAGAAAAGCAAAAATGTTAATACATTCTCATAATTATAATCCGAAAATAAATTGAAGCATCTTCAATTATATCAAAATTAGGGAAACTTTTTTATAAATTAATTTCAAATTTGAGAAACATGTTAAAATTTTTATTAGAATATTAAATATGAAATTTGTATTAAAATATTAAATTTAAAATTACAAAAAATATATATGGAGTACACATCTCAAATAAAACACAAACTTGAATACTTCCTCATAACAAAATTTCCCTAAATAAATTGGAGCATCATAAATTTTAACTTCTTTTTACTCCCACTCGGTAACAGGTCAAAGGTCAACCGGATGGTAATAAAAACGACTTTCTCACTCGGACTCCGGCACCACTAGAACTTGATAAATTCTGCCTATAAATAGTTTCCAAGAGTGGCAAAATTGCCGTATCAGCGTCAAATTTGATTGATCACTCGGCCTAATGCGATCCCGCCATTGTTCAAAAAATGCATATATTCATTACCACGAGTAAAATATACCAAAAAGAAAAAGAAAGTGTTGGTCGATATGCAGGCTTACGCAACTGGCACGTATGTCTGTCCATCACTTCCCTAAAACGCCCTGCGAAATTGACTCCCGGGAAAATTTAGAATTTAAATTCATGTCGTCATAACTACGTAATAAAAGCCCCTTTATACCAAAAGATCGTTACGCAATTGTCACGTCCGTCTCTTCAATAAACGATTATGACCTTTAATCTTGACTGAAATTGAGTTTTTGAAATTTTGTGATATTTATTTAGTTAAAGGATGTCTGAGAAGTTTTAAATTTAAAATATCGTCATAATTATGTCAATCCATTTATGCCAAAAATTCTGCTTTCTCCTCACGAATAAAATATAGAGTTGTAATCTTTAGAGTTGTACAATGGGTAAATCAGGAAAATAAATGCCTTCCATTTTTCCCGTGGCATAAATATGTCCATATTTTAATTTATGCCAATAATAAATGCCCGTTTATGCCCAAAATTGCCTGATCCGATCGTTGCTCTGCTGTTTTCTCACGGATAAAATTATATTTAGAGTTGATAAAACAAATGGCTTGAATTTTGGCCACTAAATGCTGACTTATGTCCAAGAATATAAATGCCTTCAATTTTTTTCTGTGGCATAAATATGCCAAAATTCATTAAACATTTAACACATAAAACCCCGAAATTCCCTAAATTTCCCTGCATCACGATCACCCTCCCGGAACAAACTCGTTGCTTTTTAGTAAATCAAAGATCAAAAAACTAAATCGTAAACGGACCAAGAAAGAATTCCGTCGAGCAAAAAGCCTAATCTTTTCCTTTTAAAGGAATTAGTAGCGAAATAGCGAAATCAGTAAATTTGACGGATGACAATGGATCAATCGTTTCGTAATGAATTTGCAAATAAATGCCTTAAATTTTTTCCACGACATAAATAAATATGCCTAATTCATTATAATAACATACAACACACACAAATGTGTAAATCCTTTAAATTTCCATGCATCTGAACAATTATCGAATCAAAGATCAAAAAAGCTAAATCGGGAACGGGCCAAAAAACATCGTTTTATCATGAAATTGCAAATTCAAGTTTTTCCATGTTTGCGTAAATTTGCTATAACAATGTAACAATATTTAACCCAAAACCGCCTAAATGCTCTAAATTTCCATTCATCGGAACAAAGTAACAAACTCTTTGCTTTTTAGGGAATCAAAGATCAAAAAACTAAATCGCAAACGGACCAAGGAAGAATCCCATCGAGGAAAAAGCCTAATCTTTTCCCTTTAAAGGAATTAGTAGCGAAATAAAATCAGTGATGTTGACGGATGACAATGGATCAATCGTCTGGGTAATGAAATTGCCTGCTCCGGAGCCCGTCCGTCCATTAGCGGCGACAACAACACGTGTAATAAGCCTCCCACTAATACTTTTTGACACCAGAAATGTAAATAAATGCCTCGCCAAATGAGAATGGAGTGAGCCGAGGAGTCGTCTCCCGTTTCTCTTCTCCTCGATATAAAGTAAAGGGTGCAAGGCCCGTGGAATTGGGTTGTGGGGACGTTATTGGGGAGATTGCGAATTAAGGTAAGATCGCCAATTTTGGGAAGCTTAGTTTATTAATAAATAAATGAATAGAAGTGTCTACGTTTTTTAAGGGTGAGAGGTCGGATATGTATATGTTTTTGACTTTTTCATTTTATGACGGCCGATAAATATTTCGTATAAATTACAAAAATTTCATGTTTTTTTACATATTGTTACATATTTTAGACATCAATATTCCCGCTATTATTTGAAAAATACATAAACCTTTTACAATTTTTTTCAAAAATAGAAGCGAATTTTTTTGTTCAAAGAAATTTGACGGCAAAAAATGCAGAGTATTAAATTTAAAAGTACCAACTTTTTTGAAATTTATGTTTTTATTGTCTCGCAAATATTGTGGTATCTTTCATCGTTTTTTCGTAAATACTTATCCGCCCTCTGTTAATAAAATAACATGTGTAGAAAAATCCACAATTTTTGCGATATGATCCCCAACGTCCCCACATTTCCGCGGTGCCTTCGGCTTGAGGAGGATTGATCCAACGGCAGATTGCTCATTGACTGGGGCTCACTTTCTCTCCGGCGGAGAAAGTAATGTTGCCTTTCTTAGCAGGCAGAGAGCCATGAAACTACTTATTCCTCTGCCATTGACAGCTTACGACCAATCCAACCTCCCTGCAAGTGACGAGACTCCCACCAAGGAAAAAAATCCCGTCAACTTGACACAGCCCGAGCCAGGGTGTCGAACTGTCGACTTTTCAGTTTAGTAAACCATTTCAATTATTCAAATACATAAGTTTCCACACAAAACGGAAAAATATTAAAGAAAATTTGCAAAAAATAGAGTTTAGACAATTAAAATGTCCTAGAAAAAATCAATTTTAACATAAATTTAAATTCCAAATTAAAAAAAAATGATCTTAACAATTTTTAAATTACGTGAATATTTAAATAAGATAAATGTGTAAAGAAAATGGGTCCTAAAAGTATAAAAAAATGATTGATTTAAATTAAAATTTCCCAATTTCCAATTAAAGTGATTTTCTAAATTGAAATTTCACCATTTCTAAAAAAGATCAAAATTTGAAAATTCTCGTTTTCCAGTGTGTTCCATACGACAGGATACGTATTTTTACGGTATTAAGCTACCATAAATCTAGAAATTTACGAAATTCTAGAATTTTTTAGTTTGACAGACAGACCGACATATCACTCCTATAAGACCAGACTCACGCTGGAAAAAATAGATTACATCGTCTGAGTAAAGAAGAAATGAAAAATTCTGTAATCTCTAATTCTTCACGCTGCATTTTATCATTATATAAAACTCCATTGATGCCACGCCCTCAAATAAGTTTCTTAAGAAAAAACAGGAAACTGCAATTCCTAAAAATACAGGAAGCTATCAACTCCTGAAGTATACGAAAATCGAAAACACTTCCTGATTCACTCAACTAATTTAATTCATCCCTGTTATACTAAATTTGTAAGAAATTCATTCGGAAAAATTGGCTAATATTAAACACGAACTTTCTCCAAGTTTTGCTCCACGTAACTCAAGCTTTCAAAAAATTCTGCATTTAATTATGTGCAAAATTCATTCATATTTTCAGGAAAATTGACAACAACAAACTTTCTCCAGTTTTTACATCCACGTGAATTAAGCTTAAAAAAATCTGCATTTAATTTTATCCTAAATTTATTCTTATTTCCGGGAAAATTCTAAAACATAAAACTTCCTCCAATTTTAACCTCCACGTGACTCATTCCTCTAAAACATTCTGTATTTAATTCTATCCAAAATTCATTCATATTTCAAAAAAAATTGAAAACACAAACTTTCTCTTATTTTTACCTCCACGTGACTCATGCCTCCAAAAAATATGGATTCAATTTTCTTCAAAATTCATTCATATTTCAAAATTCTGTCACATCTTTGCATAATCTTCCACCCACCATTTGATCCTTCCCTTCTTTACAAAATTATACTAACTGATTGAATTGTACTTGCCTCATAATTCTTCATTTATCCTTATTCAAAATTCATTCATATTTCCGAAAAAATTCAAAAACACAAACCTTCTCAAATTTTTACTCCACGTGACTCATTCCTCAAAAAAAATTTTCACTTCGTTGTATCCAAAATTCATTCATATTTCCCCAGATAAATTCGCAAACACAAACTTTCTCCTATTTTTACCTCCACGTGACTCATTCTCTCCAAAAAAATATGGATTCAATTTTCTTCAAAATTCATTCATATTTCAAAATTCTGTCACATCTTTGCATAATCTCCCACCCACCATTTGATCCTTCCCTCTTTCACAAAATTATCCTAACTGATTGAATTATACTTGCCTCATCGCAGCGCAAATTGTCCCTACTTTTTCGTGGAGAAAGTGCATTATTATCTACTCTTCACAAAAGAAAGTGGCATCATCATCATCATCATCTCGTGATCCAGCCCAAAAAAAGGGGGAATGAGGAAGTACAAACATAAGACGATTAAGGAGAGGAATCGAGTAAAGCTTTATTTACAATGTGTAACACTTCTACCTCCTCCTCAAACAGATCTCTCTCCTTCTCCTCATCAAAGGGAGAGAGATCAGGGCCACAGGGCGGATATGTATTTAGCAATAAAATACTTCATCAAATATGTACAAAAAAGAAACATAAATATAAGAGTTTTCGAAAAATTTCTACTTTATCGGTCGGTTATATATTTACGAACAATGAAGGAAATAAGATTTTTTGTAACCGACAAAATATTTACGAAGAAAGTGTGTAATAAGGATTTTCGAAAAATTTATATTTTTGATTTTAATACTCTGAATTTTCTTTGGTTGAATTTCTTTGAGAAAAAAATTGTCGAAATAGTTGCAAAATATATATCTAAAATATGTCCATATTTTTAGAAAAATGTTTAAAAAATTACCGTATTTTTGAAATAATAGCGATTATGTCTCTTAAAACCTAGAAATGTGTGACAGTACGTAAAAATATTTTGAAATTTATGTGCTCTATGCGAGGTAAGTAACACACGAAAAAAATTGAAAATAAATACATATCCGCCCCTGCTCATCTTGAGACAAACTGAACAGAAAGCAAGCCAACAAGTAATTCAGAATCGTATTGGAAAGTGATCTACAAAACCGTGTCGCATTTCCCATTTCCAAACTAGTTAAATCCATACATTTTCCGCCCCCAACTTTCCTTCATGCTACATGAAACCGAAATTCAGAAACCGAAATTTCAATGTGAAAGTAACCACTTGCAGGAATCACCCGAAAAGAATCAGATGGTACATATTTCCTGCACTTTTTTGCACCTCGTATTTTCGGGTAGCCTGCTTTACAGTGCAAGAAATATAGAGCGCACTCACGTCAACCTTCGCAAATTATTCATAGCAACATAACTTGCGAAGGTTTAGCGAAATTTCGCAAAAATTAAATAAGCTGGAAAACCATGGGATTTCTTTCACAAATTTATCAAGCATTTGGGCATGTTCTACTTTCGCAAGCTTCCTCACCATCAGCAGCAAGAGAAATTACAGAAATTCATAGAAACAGCATCAAAATAGGTGATTTTAGTAAATTTGCGAATCCCCTCACGACACAAATATTTTGATCTTCACAAGTTTGCTAAATGAGTTGCGAACTAAAACTTTGTCGTGAGTACGCCCAAAATAACCCCGCAAAAATGGTTTTTACAGCCATTTTGACCTGCAAGAAATGCAAGGTGCAAGAAACTCTGCCCCGCCGCTGTAAATACTTCATACAGCACGTGGCTAGATGGCACATGATTCTTTGACTTTCTCCCAGTTTCTTGCACCTCCCATTTCTTGCATTTCCTGCTTTGCACTGCAAGAAATGTAGCAAAACCCGCAAAAAATGAAATACTGAAAAATTCAGGGATTTATTTTCCAATCTTTACAATTTTACCAAAATCCTTGCTTTTTCTATGTAGCAGTCCCCGCAGCTGGCTGAATTCATTTTCATGTGGGGTAAGGGAACTAATTAAGCATTTTTTTTCCTCCACGCAACCCCAACTTTGTGTAGGATTAAGTAGTACAACGACTCTGTTTGAAGTTCCTTGTTGCTCCAACTTTTAGGAAAAAATATACCCGGTTAGTTTGACAGATGCAACTCACAATGCGATGGTGTGAAGTGTAACCCTCCGATTTGGATGAAATTTTGAAATTATATGGTCGAAGTCAATACAACCAACATTTCTTCAGGCTGTTTGTGCGATGGTCAGAATTTGCCAAAATATTTGACAGCAAAGTTAAAAAACATGCGATTTTTACCAGGCGAAGGAAGCAAATTCAACTTCCATGCTCTTCGCGTGCTAAAAATTGCACATTTTTCAACTTTAACCTAAAATATTTTGCCAAATTCTGACCATCGCACAAACTGCCCGAAGAAACGTTGGTTGTATTGACATGGACCACATAATTTCGAAATTTCATCCAAATCGGAGGGTTACACTTCACACCATCGCATTATCAGATTATGTATTCGAATCCGAGCGTAACAAGCTTTGAAAAAGAGCTTGTTACGTTACGTTTGGTTTTGTAATAAATAAATACTTTAATGATAAACAGAATACGGATATGTATTTATTTTGTCTAATTTTTTCTAATTTTGTCGGCGTGTTTCCTAACTCGCGTGGAGCACACAAATTTCAAAAATATTTTTACACCTTGTAATATATTTCTAGCTTTTCTGACATAAATACTTCATCCATTATTTAAAAAATGTGGAAATCTTTTACATATTAAAAAAATGCGGATATATTTTGTAAATATATCAAAGATTAAAAACATTTTTTTTGCTCAGGGAAATTGTATAGCAAAAAAACAAGAGAATTATTTTCAATGTGTAAACGTACAAACTGTGCAAAAAATTAGCACACAAATGTCAAAAATATATTTACATCTTGTAACACGTTTCTAGCTTTTCTGACATAAATACTTCACCCATTATTTAAAAAATGTGGAAATCTTTTACATATTAAAAAAATGCGGATATATTTTGTAAATAAATCAACGATTAAATTGAAACATTTTTTTTGCTCAGGGAAATTGGATGACAAAAAACAAGAGAATTATTTTCAATGTGTAAACGTACAAACTGTGCAAAAAATTAGCACACAAATTTCAAGAATATATTTACATCTTGTAACATATTTTTTTCGGTTTTCTGACATAAATACTTCATTCATTATTTCAAAAATGTGGAAATCTTTTACACATTTTAAAAAATACGGATATATTTTGTAAATATATCAACTATTAGAAACATTTTTTTGCTGAGAGAAATTGTATCGCAAAAAAAACCAGAGCATTATTTTTAATGTGTAAAGGTACAAACTGTGCAAAAAAAATTATTATTTTTATTTCCATAATTTTTCCTAAATACATATCCGCCCTTCGTTAATGGTAACGCGAATTCTGTCGTAAGATGTTTCAATAAGTACTTGTCGAGCGAACAATATCCGTCATGGTGGGGTTGGCGACCATCTGTGTGTAAGGGGACATCCATAAATTATGTCACGCAAAAATCGCGATTTTGTAGACCCCCTCCTCCTTCCCCTTAAACATGTGTCACATAGGCACGATATCATTGGAGCCTTGGACCCCCTTCCACCTTACGTAATTTATGGACGGTCCCTAACCACTCATCTCGTCACCTTACCTGACATATTATGCGATGTCACTGTTATGATAAACGGCCCACTTGTTGGTGTCCTCCTAAAATGCTGCAATGCTAAGCTACAATTTTCCCAATTCTGCTGTACTCCGCGAATCCACAGATTTAAAGAAATCGCGTATTTCTAAAACATTCTTAAAACTGTAATCCCACCAGGTTTCATAAATTTCGGAAAGTTTTTATCTTACACTGCCAATTTTTCTTTAGAAAATTTGCCAGATTTCTAATTTCTTAATCTGCAATTCTACAAGTTCTAATAAATTTCGAGGATTTGTAAATCGAGATTTTAAGTCTTTCTTTTCACTCAAATTTGTGAAAAAATAGGTTAAATTTTTCTTATTGACTAATTTCTTCAACTGATTTCCCATTAGTTTTAATCAATTTCGGAAAATTTAAAAATCTAAAGATTTCCAGTTTATTAAATTCAAATTTGTATGACAAAAAATTCATTAAATTTTCCCCACTAGTATGAATTTCTCTTCCACACGTGCGTCTTATTTATGCCATTTCGATTACCAATATTATGTAACCATTCATGATGTGAAAAGGCTGTTGGCTATAATGCAATAAATCAATTATTATTATGTCGATTCAATAATTAAATTCACACCATATTCACGTTTTTAATTACCAATTTATTCTTTTTACACAAAGACACGATTTACCAGGGAAAACATATAGTATATTTCATTTCATTTCACTTAAAATTACCAAATTTACATATAATACATTATGACATATATTTACTCATTTACATATATTTCCTAATTTACGTAAGTATACATAGTTTTTTATACCAAGTAAGTATACATTTATATATTTTAATGGATAACAAAAAACGTCGCCATGATGATGATCTCCATCACGACGATGATAAAAGGATTGTCTTACAGCTTTACACAAATTCATAATCAGTGTTTTTTTTCTTAATTTCTTGCACCTTTTCCGCCCTGTATTTCTTGCACTGCACAAATTGCAAGAAATACGCGCCAGCCACCTAGCGGCTCACCCTTCGTATTAGATACACTTATATAATTACAGAGATGGCGCTCATTTCCTGCATTTCTGCAAAAAAAATTCGAATACAGTTTCTCACAGGTGGGTTTCTTTTCACGGGGAATAATCCTAATAATCTGACGTATACATCCTCAATCATTCCCTTATCCTTAATAAATACACATTTACTTATCATTAACATGGTTATCATTATCATTTTTATTACTTTACAACTTACAACTTACTTGTTAAATAACTATTCTAATACATCAATTACAGATATTACATTAGAAACATATTTATAGATTACCGTGGAACGTACGTGCATTATGTGCTATCTCGTCATTAAATATTTCCTATATATACGTCCAAAAAATTCAGATATATAATCTCGCACGTGGCCATAATTCAAAATTACGAAAAAAAAGAAAACATGAAACTTATTTACTACAAAATTTTCCCACTCTTTCCATTTGAGTATCACAAAGTATTCACGTGGGTAACATTTATGTAAATGAGTAAAAATCCCACGTGGTGATGATTCAGTTAAAAATCCCACGTGGTTCAATTAGCTTTCCCGTGATTTGTAATCATAAATGTGTAATAATTGATTGATTTTCATTTTTTTTGGTGATGGACCATCCTTATTTAATACTGACTCGGTAATAATAATTTTATCTATCTATGTACTCGCATTTATTTAGTCCTGCTGCCTCTTATCACAGTTTGTCCTAGCAAATTCGTGAATAGATAGTTATAATCCGTTTAAATACGCGTCGTTCATTAGTGACTGAATAAAGTACAACTTTCTCTCGCTTTCTCTCTCTTAAAGCGTGGCATCATCAAAAAGTTCATTATCATTATTATTGCTGGCCTCCATTATGCATACAAACGGATGAAGATGTGCTGTATTAAATTATTAATCAAGTGTTGCTATCCTTTAAGGATTCAAGCCGCAAGTTCAAAATATTTAAACAGGGTTTTAATTCAAATGTGTTACATGGTGTGATTTTTTTAATATTCTGTGATTTCTTTGTCAATTCTGATTTCTGTGATATTTAACTATTGAAACAGAGTTTGAAGAACTGTGATAATAATTATACGTTGTGATTTCTGTGATTTTCACACCGCGTGATTTTCATGATATTACTGCGGGAAAAGTGAGACAACTTGTGTAAAATACACTTTATGACGAGACCAACTTGATATTAGGATTCGGTCTGAAATTCTGACCATTTTTCTATCGTAGTTGCCCCGCCTAGGACAAAGTCTCGGTTTGCATTAGATTTGTATGTTAAAGGTGAAAGTTGGTCAAAAAAACCGGACCGAAAAGTGTCTGAATTTTGTGACTAATCCGAAAATTAAGCTGGTTTTAAAACTCGCATATTAAAGAAAGTTGCTCCATTTATTTCATAATCACAGAAATCCGATAAATCACATATTTCACAGTAAATCACATCACATTTTGATTTTAACCACTCTCACGTGATTTCCCAAACCTAGCCTTGAACCACCTCCAACACCACCACTGTGAAACGCCTACATTTCTGCGGTCTAGGTCATAAACACAGCTCTTACAACACTCTCTCTTCCCCACATGACCACACGTTCTCCAAGGAGTGAAAACACAACCAGGAATCACACGCTAAAATTGAGTAATTTACTTTCCACTACTGTGGGAAGTTGGCATGTGGCGTGGTTTCGTCCAGTTTAATTTTCTCCGTCGCCTTTTATCCGTCCCAACAATGGGGAAACAACCCAACGGGAAATTTACTAAATACGACGGGAGGTCCGCAAAATTATGCCCGATTAACACATGGCTTAAAATGAACGGTGAAAGCGTGCCTAAAACTTGGTGAAAGTGAAGCTTTCTCCACAGCGGGAGGCATACTTTCGCGGAGAAATCGCTACTTTCCAGCTTGCGAAAGGTCTCGTTTTTGCAGGAAAGCAGTCGCGGTGAAAGCGTGACTTCAAACTTGATTAAAGTATAGCTTTCTCCGCGGCGGAAGCTATAATTTCGCCGATAAACAGCTGCCTATCAATGGAATATGCTTGGCGGAAGGTGTAACTTAAGCGAGATCGCTTTCACAGTGAAAGTTTACCTTGAAACGTGGTGAAAGTGCGACTTTCTCCAGGACAGGACCCACGATAAATAACTGAATATCGCTAAAATAAGGTTTCCGAAAGGTGGTCAAACCCCCCTTAAAAAATTTCGTCCATGATGCACCCTGGTTTCCTAAAATTCCTTAAAATTATCTCCACAAATTTACCTCACATACAAACCGTAATTTTCCCCATGTTACTCGGGTTTTCCTCGCTCTCTCTCTTTCTCTCACTTTCTCCGCAATAAATGCTTCCCTCATTTACATAATCAAATCCTCGTGGGACTATTTCCCATCAAAATATATTAAATACGACAACATCAAGTAGTTAGAGGGAAAATGATGATGCGAACAACAACATACTTTCACCAGCCAGAAAATAGACTCACTCTCCTTTTTCTTAACCATTCCCTTGTTTTATTTTTGGTTCACCAATTTAGCTCGCTCAGTGCTGCTCAAGCCTCATAAATTATTTGGGTGAAAGTCATCCCCGGATCAACAAAAACTTTCTCTTTTAGTACAAATTGTCCTCTCATTTGTCCCAATAAAATACATCCATTCGGGAACTATCATTTTATTTTTAGCGTTAAATTTTAATTCGGTGGCAGATTAAGGGCAGACTTTCTCTTTACGTTGCATCCTCCCCCCACACAGGGGAAAAGGTGGCTTAATTGGAGACATCAATAATTTAATTCTAGGGAAGAAAACTAGATATTTCAATTTACCCAACTTTCTCCTTAGAGAAAGTTCATACCTATTAAAAAATAATTTCATGCTTGGTCGCCTTAGTCACGACCAGGACTGGTCACTGCGTGGGACATAACATTTATTTTATGCCCCATAAATTGAGAAATATATGTATATTTCTATGCATTTCTTCTTCTTCTCAAAGTGAAAGCAAGCCTCCATTCCGCTCAGATTGCAGATTTTCGTGATCCAATCTTGAAGAAATTTGATAAAAAAATATAAGAAACACGGAATTCCACAGAAAAAAACTTGCATTCGATTCGGAAATGGTTATTGACTTGACTTTCTTCATTCGTCGTAGCGAAATCAATGCGGTTGGTTGGCCTTTTTTAGTCCTATATTTTCCTCGGCTGGAGAAAAACGTGTCTCTCCAAAAAATATGAAACCAATAGGGTGAAAGGCTTTCTCTTTTTTTCACTGGGTTCTTTTTTCAATGGATGTTTTCTCATATTTTTGATGATGAGAGGAAGCTTATTTTTGTCCTCGGTCTCTTTTTTATAATCCTTTCCCCAGCCTCGATAAGGACTCGGTAATGGGGAAAGTAAACAAATTCGATAAGAAGATATCGGCAAATTGTATGCGGAGAAAGGTTTTTTCAGATCCAATTCCTCAAGCTCATTTTACAACCGAGGGGAATTTGCACGGACAAATCCGGGGGATAACTTGGCTTTCACTTCTTCTGGAATTTTGTGCATAGAAATTTGCACATTTGCGGAGAAAGTGAACCAACCCTCCGGTTTTGATGGGATATACTCGTTCACTTTTTCGCACATAATTTGCACGGAGAAAGCGACCAATCCGGCAGTTAGAAGGGGCAATGTCTCTTTTACTTCCGGGAGCATTTTTTGCACATAATTTGCACACTCACGGAGAAAGTCCCGCAGTTTGAAGGGATACCCGCTTTCGGCACAGATTTCGCACTTTCACCTTCCCGACTCAATCACAGTTTCTTTCTTTCTTTTTTTGCACCCACAATTTTTTTCGCACAATTACTTTCTCCTCGTGTCCACCACGTCCGCTGATCAAATCGCGCTAACTTTCTCGCCAAACATGGTCACTCCGGAGCCGGATCCGCACCGAATTTCCCGTGGCGTGGTGGAGCGCGTGTTCGTCCCTGGAATAGAGCCACCCGAAGATCTCGGCGTTTCGCGGAAGGTGCAGATCCCATTCATCTGGTGAAGCGAGCCCACCTCAGGGTCCGACCTGCTGTAAAAACAATAGAGCGAAAGAGAACAATGAGACGACCAGGTGGTGGTGAAAGTAGTGGTGAAAGTGGTGGGTTTTAATTAATAAACAACGGAGAAGGAGAAAGCAGCGTCGTCTCTTATTATGAGCCCAGGAGGGTCTCTACTAACGCTTAAAAGATTATCAACTTTCTCTTTCTACCAAGAACAAAAGAGAGGTGGTCTTGTTCTTGGGGTTGTTCTTGCGATGTTAATTTTTGAACAGGGCTGGGCAAAATATGTACGTTCTAATTTTAGCAATGTGCTCCCAACTAAGGGGGATTTCTTGGGGTGTGTATAGTGTGAAAAACATTACATGTTTAACAAAGTACTGCACGAAATTAGTTTTATTCGCGATTTACGCGTTCATTTGGGGGAAAATAATAAGAACTATTAATAAGAAAATTCACGCAGGACTTGGTAACATGATAAAATCCGTAAACTTAAAAACTTTTGCAAAATTTTACATATTTCGAATGAACATTAGCTTATCAATTTTTGTAAACTAACTCAGATCAAGGGCGTCTCTTTATTATGTAAAAGTTTGTAAAATTATTGTAAAAATGTACTCAATTTAATTTAATTTCGTAAAATTTACAGATTTTCCAAGTTACCAAGAACTGTATGAATTACCTGAATGTCAATTTATTTTTTAATTAAATGCGGAGTCGCTAATAGCTTAAAAACTTGTTTTCTGCAGTACGATTCGAACCTATAGCTTCTCATTTTCATAAAGGTTACTCTAACCACTGAACTATACCGACACTTCTGATCTTATACTCGTATATATTTTTGAAGTCTAATCTGTTAATTTCGTCTGCATTTTCGTACCCCACTTAAATTCACTTTAATACCCTAGGAAATCCAAACCTTGGAAATCACGGAGCTCAAAATAATGTAATTTGCCCACCCCTGCCAAAATTTAACTCTGGACCAAACTCTATATATTTTACGAACCGGCGTTGAATGAGAGCCACGGCTTGGTAACCGCACCGCCTGCAGCAGGAGATAAGCCGACAAGAGGGGCACCATCCCAAGTCCTTGCAGCACGGAGGCAGCCGCGAAGTCAAGATTCGTCGAAACGCTGCACGAAACTCGGTATTGAATATGGAATAGATGACCGGGTTGAAGCACGAGTTTGAGTAGCCCAGCCATGTCAGGATCTGAAAGAGAGAAAGTTTGCGACAAACTGATTACTACCCGGGTTTTAAAAATGATTAAAATATGGACACCATGAGCAACCTTGATCTTAAAGCTTAAAATTCTCGAAAATCTGGATGACTTTCTCCTCACCAGGAAAAAGTTGTATGATGGACATGGGACACACAAAAATGCCTGATTTTAGGGGTACTCACTTACACGACAGCTTTTTTGGCATAAATCTCCAAACTAACACAATTTAAGTGACTCTCTCCTCACCAGGAAAATTGTATGATGGGCGACAATTATTAGACCCGAAAATTTGGTGCTCCCTTTTTTACATAAATTTCGAAAATCAATACAATTTGTAGTCAAAATCTGTCCCATTTCATAAAACATTTGGTAGGAAAGTGTGGGATTTTTTGTCCCAAATTTACAGACATTTTGGGTATAAACCTTTAAAATTTTCCACATTTCGCAAAATTTTGTCTGGAAAACAATATTCTATTTATCATAAATATGGACTGTTTTACTATTTTGTGACATTATTTCGCTGGCTAAATATTAACTGAAAATGCAAAATTTATGTAAATAAGTGAGCACCCCTATTAGAAAACCAACCTTAAAAATTTAAATTCAGGGCGTGCCATAAATGCTAAATATTCAAAATTCCCATCTTCCCTCTTAAATATTTCCCTCTTCTATGGAAACATCTTTCTCTCCTTCTCAAATAAAATCAGGCCACGTGTCCCACACCGCAGCTTTCTTTGGCTCCCTCACATTTATCAATATTCTCCTCATTATCACGGTGGTCTGGTCCGAGTCATTATTATTACTCGCCTAACGCGACCGGATTAAGAAGTCAAATGTCTCGTTATCACGCAAAACGAGCCGCTTCATACTTTCTCTCACCCACTTTCTCTCCTTTTCGTTCCTACCACCACCACGTACACAAATTCTAAATTTGAGCTACTTAACTCACTCCTCAGTCGCGTCTTCTTCAAATAATTCGCTCTCTCTCTCTATGTTTGAACAGTAAACTTTTCCTGGGAAGAATTCTGGACACATTTATTTAGCCCAAAGTAAAGTGAAAGTGAAAGTGCTGTTCGTTACGAGGAAATTCTGGCGCTTTTCTTCTTCTTCCTCTAATGAAGTGCCTAAACTTTACGTTTACCCGCCTTCGTGACAGGCACGGTGGAACGGGGGGTGGGGACAAAAGGGGGAGAAAAATATGTGGCTTTTCCTGTTAAACTTGTTTCCAAAAATTTTGCAAAAATTTTAAGGGAGATTTTATTAGAAATTTATTTAGAATTTAAAAAATTTATTAGTCATTTGATAAAAACTTTTTTTTCATGTGTGAAAGACTATTATGCAATTTATTCGCAAGCTAATTTTATCCTGTCAGCCGTTTTAAGCAATTTTATTTTCCTGGTTTTCAGAAATTTACAAAAAAATCATGGAAGTTGTTCGAAATGTATCAAAAAAGTGTTTTTTGTGAGGTTCTTATGTCAATTATTTGCAAACATTGAATCCATTTAATGTTTGCAATCTTACCAAACTCCTTGCTTTCTTGCATTTTTATTAGAATTACAGTTTTTCTAAAGTTTACCCAAATTTTGATGGGAAATCATGAAATTTTTACTGTTTTTATTTTGCTACATTATTTCGAAAATTATTTGGTAAATGATCTGTAAAAGATGTTGGCCTGAGTATGCAAAATTTATCAGACAGCATACTAATATTTATGCAATAAATTTGTCATTGTCCCCTTTCACCGTTCCGCAGCTCCATCAATGTCCAAATATTTGCCTCTCTGTCTGTGAAGGACTGAATGCTCGACCAGTTTCACTTTTCACACCAGTAAACAAACTTAAGGTGCTATACGATGACAAGCTGATTATGTGACATACATTTCTGTTTCACTTTACCCCATTAAACCTCTTTAAATGCAAATTTCTAAAATTGCATGAATTTCACGAGTTTTCAGATCAATCCAACTTTTCATACTTTTTTGTAAAGTATATTTTTGGTACTGTGTAACCTTGCAAAAAATTTCGAAAAAAATAGTCTATTTATTTGTTATTTTTTAAAATAAATGTTCCCCCAATTGAATAAACTATTTTTTAAATTAAAGCTATTGAATTTTTATTTTCTAGAAAATTTATCGTGAAAAAATTATAAATGAATTAATTTTTTTTTAAATTTAGAAATTTGCATTTAAACCCATTAAACAGGGGGTGGAAAGAGACTAAAAATCTATCCAACATTAAATACTCGTCCAATAACACCTTAATACTCAATTCCACAATCATCAATTTCTTTTCACTCTCACTAACAAATCTCCACTCCACCTCTTTTTCTCATCCAATCCATCATCCAATAGCACCTTAACGCAAAAAGTCAGCCTCTATTTAATTTATTTTGCATTTAAATGCACCCTCTTCCATCACACCACGTCCGTCCGTCCATCCAACAAATAATGAAGTCAAAGTCTTTAAAACTTTGTAAACCTGCTAAATACTCACCTTAAAAGCCAAGTCTGGAATGCACGTTTTGCAGAAGGCGTAGACTATGTTGGCGCAGAAAAAGGGCACCCAACACACCAAAAAGGTTCCTGAAAATGAATAAAAACATGTTATTTTCCTTAAAACTTTACACGTCAAATTTCAAAACTTTCCCATTTAGACAAGTTTTTTTTTGCATCCAAGTTGCAAAAATTTTGCACAAAATCTATTAACCGAGATAAGTCCGAAGCTACATTTTTCCAAATTTACGAAAAACTTTTCTCGTTACCTTTTTTCTAAAAAAACTAATTAAATTGTTGTCAATCTCCCAAAGTGTGTTCAACTAATTAAACATTAGTTACAAATAATTTGTTAAAATTTTGGTACTGGACACGAATTACGATCCGAATCAATAGCGATTTTAGAAAAAAAACTGTACGGAAATTTTATTACGTAATTAAAATTTCGAAATGCAGTGCGACCTTATTTCAAGTAATTGAACAGTACCGTATTTTACACAATAACATAAAACTAAAGAAGTATAAAAACCCAATGATTTTCCACTGTCATCATCACAGGGCGGATATTTATTTACAAAATAGTGACGAAATATTGATAAAAAAAATAAGAATTTAAAAATTTTGTAAAATTAGAAAACTTTTACTTTTTAATCCTCGATTTTTTTGAAAAAATATTTTGATTTTTGTGTGATCACACCGACAAAGTCTGACCGTCGGTCGGCATTAGATGAAAAAAATTAAAATAAATAGATACCCGCCCTGTGGTCCGTTACATTATATAACTCTTCATTATCTCCGTTGACTGTGGCAATGTCCAGGAGGACAAGTGTATTAAGGAGCAACTCACCCATGATGACCCCCACTGTCACGGCTGCTTTATGGTCAGAAACCTGTAAAACCCACATCAAATTTTGTCATCACCACAAAACATCTCGTCACCCGGGTTTTTTACGACGTAAAGTCTACGTAGGTGCCATTTCTTTACGGAAAATGGAATTTTTTCCTCTAAAAAGATCCCCTTATTTTGATACACTTTTCGTTTTTCTTATCAAAAAAGCTCCTCTAAATTTTTATCAGGTCTTATCATTTAAAAAAAGGCCTCTCAATTTTGTATCTGGGGTTTTTTAGTAGAAAAAAATGCTCATCTAAAATTTCTTATGCGGGTTTTCAATAGTCCACTAAATTGTTCTATCGATTTTTTTAAGAAAAGGCCTCAAAATTTGCTATCTGTTTTCATGACTTGAAAAACCTCTCCTAAACTGTTTATCAGTTTTCTTAATTAAAAATGACTCCTCTAAATTTTAACCATGTTCACAACGTTAAAAAAGCTCTCAAAATTTGTAATCCTGGTTTTTTATCTTAAAACAGTCCTCTAAGTTTTGTATTCATTGTTTTTCGAAAAAAAGGTTTCCAAATTTGTTATCCTGGTTTTCATTTCAAAATTCGTCTAATTTTTTTTAATAGTTTTCTGCTTAAAAAGGACCTCCAAATTTGTTATCTCAGTTTTTTACCCCCAACAAAAACCTCCCAACTTTTGGCCTTCTTCCTACCAAATTTCGGAAACCCCCACGCATCTAAACCTTTTTAACATGGGACACGTGGGACCCTTTTGCTTCTCAGAAATCGCACCCACTCCTCCCCCCCAAAAAAATGATAAAAAATCCCACCTGATACGACGAGTTAGCATGTGTCGGTGTTGTCCTGGCGGTCGCATCGCCGGCGCGAGGTGGCGGCCTCGTCACGGCTTTGATATTCTTGACGTGCTTCCTGGCATAGAGGTAGAGGCGGCAGTAGATGCCCACCATGATGAAGCACGGCAGGTAAAACGAGACGCAGGACGAGACCTAATTTTTCATTGAAAAAGATTAAGATTTATGAGCCTTGTTATAATTATTTCCGTAAAAAAGGGCCTAATTTTAAAATACAGACCATAGTCTTGTAAAATTATTCACTAATAATGGGGAAGCAAAACAAGTTTAACCCAGACTATTTTTTGATCATGTTAGTTTGAAGGATAAACTCTTTATAGAAACAACATTTAGTGTCAAATTTGCACAGATTTAGTAAGCTTTGGGTGCCGCGAAGACGCTTGGTTTTCCAGCGGAATCTATTCCTTAAGGCCGCAATTGGGAGTTTTTACTAAGTTGTGGCGCCCAAACCTTGCTAAATTTTCGCATCTGCGCAAATTTGACACTAAAAGGTGTTAATAAAGTCCGATCCCATTTTTCCTATAAAAAAGTGAAGGCTAGTATAAAAAAAACTACCCGTGATACTTACAAAAAATGTTCGACATATTTACCTTAGTATTTGGTCTTGTTACCATTTACTTTAACCATGCCCTCAACTCTTTGTTTAAGGCTCTGTGCTAATTTTTCCAATGTGTCTGTGGGAATCGAATTCCATACATCTTGAACTTTTTTTACTAGCTCTTCCCTCGTCCGGGGTTGTGGTTCTTTGTATACATTTTCCTTAAGTATGGACCACAGGTTCTCCAGGGGATTCAAATCTGGGCTGTTTCCGGGCCACACCCCCTTGCTCCAGACCGTTTAAACTTGCGTCTTGATGAGACTCAAACTCGCTTTTGCTGTATGGGCTGTAGCACCATCCTGCATGAAAACTATTTTTCTTTCATTCGGAAATATTTCCTTGTTCCCCATGCTATCGAAATAGATAGGTAATATTTTTTCCATATAATACTTTGCATTGACTGTTTGGCCTTTTGGTATGATATGTAGAGGAGTCACGCCACGTGCACAAAATCCACCCGCTACCATAACTTTAAGCCCGAATTTTGGGACTGCTCTTGATGGTACATCCGATTTGTTTTCTGTCCTGTAACGAACATTTTGTTGGTTCAATTTTGGATATAGCTCAATAATAGATTCGTCAGTCCAAAGGATGTGACTGCGCAATTCTTCACCAAGTCTATTTTCACTCAAATGGCCACTTTTCTGAAGGAGTTCTCCAAATTTCAGACGGTCATCGATATTTTTTTGTGACATGAGAGGTTTTTTGGTTAGTTTGTAAGCTGTGTGACCCCACCTCGTAGATTTCACAAATTTTTGCACGGTCACATAGTTAATTTGCTTCTTCTTCTCTTTATAGCGTTTTGAGTCATTTAACTCCCTTGCACAATTACGTAATGAACTACCGGTTTTCTTGTAAAGTCTGTTTTTAATCATTCTCTTTGTGGTAGGTGACACCTTTCTGGGTCGCCCGGGTCGCTTTTTGTCGTGGACAAAATTTTTGTTCTTCCATTTCCAAACAGTTCTGCGGCTGCAGCCCAATTTTTGCACAATTTCTGCAGGTTTAAACCCCTGCTGATGCAATGTTTGTATCTTAACTCTAAGATGCTCATGACTTACACGTTTAGTTGTTCCTCCCATGGTAAAAATTTGAAATAAATAACTTCACTGGTTCAAAAGTTCCAGCTGAATTTGTAACAACCGCGCTCCAAAAAATTCATGGGATCGGACTTTATTAACACCCTTTAGATGTTGTTTTTATAAAGAGTTTATCTTTCAAAACAGCATGGTCAAAAAATAATCTGGGTTGAACATGGTTTGCGTTCCCTTTGTAGGATAAATATTAATAGAAAAATAAACAAAATGAAAAAATTATTCTTTTCAAAATTAATTACCACGGCGTAGGTCGGGCTCAGATCGAGCGCACACGTGGGCAGGGCGAGTGGGTCCTTGGGCATCTCCAGTTCGTCCGCTCTGTGCAAATCAAGTGAAATGGGGACGAAGGAAATCAGCGCGGCGAGAATCCAGACGACGGCAATGACACCCAAAATGCTCCTCTTGTTCACCCAACGCCCGTAGCGGAGGGGGTCCTTGATATGCACGTAGCGATCCAACGAAATCGCTGCCAGGTTCAGGATGGATGCCTGTGGGGAAAGTGAAAATAGAAATTCGAGGCACACAAATTGCGAGGCACGATAACCTGAAGAAATTGCGAAATATTTTTTTTTGCAAAAAATTACATGGGACAAGCCGATTCGCAAACTTTATCCGGGAAGTACGATTTTCACGATGACCAGAGAAAATCGTGAATTTTGTTCAAAAAACAAAAGCAAATTACGAATTTTTTAAAACATTTCATGGAAAAAGCTTGTCCGCAAATATATCTGGGAAGTGAACTCAAACAAATTTTACGATCGAGCAAATTGCGATTTCTTTTGCAAAAAAATGATCATAGGAAAGGCTGATTCGCAAATTTATCGGGAAAGTGAAAGCGAAAGTTAGTTTATCTCTTCAATTCTCTGTACAAATTTTTGCACAGTTTGTCCCGTATTCACGACAAACCCGACAAGGTTTGCGAAAATTTGTATATATTTATTTGCGAAAATTTGAATGCTAAAAGTTTGCTATATTTTGTCATAAATTAACTCAGGAAATGAGTTAAACATATTTGTTTAAGGTTATTTCACAAACTATTTTGAAACACTTCTGCATCTATTTATGGGAATTTCACAATCATAAAAATATCAAATATTTTATGTTTGTTTATTTTAAGAGTAAAAAAATGCATGGAAACTTTCATTTTTCCGTTACTACTAAATTGCATAGCATATTACTCCTCGTGTGAAAACTGCACAATTTTTATGTCCCCTGAATAATAAATCCTACACAGAATTTATCTCCAGCACGTGAAATGTACTTTCTCCAGCTTATTTTCACCCGAAACATGGCGAATTACGAGGCTGCATTGTGAAGATAAATGGGCCAATTTTCGCCCCATTTTCACTCGCCAAAGTGCACTTTCACTATGCATTTACTAGATTCAATGATACCAAAAGATGCAAAAAACCGCATGCGACCCTCACCGAAAGTTGCAGTGGGATGGAGCAGTGGCCGCGGAAGGTGTGTGGTGGGACATCGGGGGACATTAACATTGTCGGATAGGGAAAGGAGGGGTTTGTATAAGATGGGGAGATGATGCGGACACCGAACAACCGTGATGACATTGTCCCCCTGTCCCCTTAAGCTTCCGCGGCCACTGTACACGTTATTGAGCTGTGGTACCGACTTTCAGTGCCCGCGGAAGGTGTGGGGACAGAGGAGGGCATTGCCATTGTAGATTAGAGAGGGCCGGGTTTATATAAGATGGGGAGATGATACGGACATCGAACAACCGTGGGGACATTGTCCCCCTGACCCCTTACCCTTCCGCGGCCACTGGGAATGACCAAAAAATATGGAACTTGGGAGGCCTTTTCGACCATCACATGCACTCTTAGAAATCCAGTATTAGAATAATCCTACTTTTTAACTGACAGATCTTCCCCAACTTTTAATTTTTTTTAAATAATCCAAAATTTTGGGTTGATTATTTCCACCAAAAAATTTCTATCGTAATATTTCCTAAAGTGAAAGCACGTTTTGAAATTTTCGGTTTCTTATTCAACCCGACGTGCCCTTTTTTGTACGTTTTGTTATCCTTGAATCCAGTAAATGCACATGGTGAAAGTGCACTTTTCCGAGTAAAAATGTGGCAAAAAAGTGAAAATTGGCCCATTTATCTTCACACTGCAGCCTCGTAATTCTACGAGAATATAATCTCGAGACAAATATATCATGTACATTTAATTTTATGACATAAATTCGTGTCTCGGTAAAGGTCACGTGTGAGCAGTATTTAGTTTCTGCTACATTTCTTGCGGCCACAAAGGAATGAATATAAGAAATGGGATGTGCAAGAAATTGCACGAAATAGCTTGTAGCCTTGTAGCCGCGCCATTCCTTGCAAGTGGTCCCTTCCTCTCGAAACCATACCTGTTCACATTCATTCATTCGACGGCAGTGAATTAAAATGAATTTGCTGTCACTTGAACGAAAGTGAGGGATTCGTCATTTCCAATGAATGAAAGAATTTTTCACTTCTTTAATTTTTCACCAAATGCTTAATACATGGGACGAAATAGCAAATGAAGTCGAATGAAGTGAAATTAAATAAATTTGGACGAAAATGACTCAATGTGAATGAAAATCTTCAGTCAGAAATCGGGATGACTGACTTTTGAATGAAAATTGAATTCTTGAACAGGTACATACATATGCTCGAAACCCTGCACTTACACTTTCTTTCTATATTTTGTCATTGTTAAATCAAGCAAATAAAAAAACAATAAAAAAAATTGTTTGAATCTTCTTACCGTTGAGCACATAACGTCAAAAGCAATCCACGTGTCGCAAAACTGTTCTCCAAAGACCCAGTAACCCAGCAGGTCATTCACCCCGGCGAAAGTCATGACCAAACAGGCCACGAACATGTCCGCGATCGCCAAAGAGACGATGAAGAGGTTCCCAATGCGGCGCAGAGAGCGCTCCGTCGCCACAGCGATGCACACCAGCGCGTTTCCCACGATCGACGCCATGATCATGAAGGAGAGGAAGATGCCTAAAACACAAAATGGACAATAATTAGGCTCAAATTGTTAACAAAATTTTGAAATAAACTTGAACCAATTTTTTTTAAATAGTTTTTAATATCGAAGCAATTCACGCAGTCCTTGGTAACTTTGTAAAATCCGTAAATTGCGTTCCACAATTTGATAAACTTTTGCAAAATAAAAGGATCTTAGTAATTTTTCACAAATTTTATAAGCTTATTTTCCTTCGAAATATTTGACTTTCTCCGACTTTGTGCCACCTACTTAATCCATAATAATGTAAAATTCCGAAAATTATCATACAGTGTGTGACAAAATCATAAACATGGTTTATTATGTGACACTCGGTAACACTTTTTCCCACTTTGTGTCACTTTCCCCACAAAAATACCTCCTAAATCGTAACAAAAACCTCTCCCTACTCCTCCACGTCGTTTCATCCACTCCATTTTTGTTCCCGGGGGTAACATGCGACAAAAAGCACTATTCAAATACTGCCCACTCCACTCCACCTCCACCTCGATTTCCATGTATGTCCGGGTAGTAGTGAAACATAATGGGAAACGCAGTGAAGCCGACAGCAGCCAGGGCATTTCATTTCCCCAGCAACCACTTTCGCATTGCCAAATCACTTCATCATCTCCCAATTTACATGCAAAACCAGATTCGAGCCCTATGTCGTGTCGTGTGTGAGGAGCACTTGGCGGTCGGGTGGAGCAGCTCCTTGTTTACTTTTCGATCCCATGTCAACGATCATCTTCACGAGGGGAGGATTGTTATTATGCCAGAAAGCTTATGCCGAGTATGACGACCCAGAACCAGAAAAGCCAACAGGGCGCGGGCAACCACGGGGACTTTCTGAGGGAAAATAATTCACTTACAATAGGGATCTCTCAGCGAATGCTCTCCGATTTTGAGCAAATAAGTGCGAATCGATAGCAAATTTGATTAGTGTGATATTTGCGAAAGACACAATCCCCCAATGGGCACGTTTGCCAGAGATATTTTCATCCGAAGAGGAGAAAACGCGCCACAAAGTCGACAAATTTTTTACTTTCTAAATTTACTGCGCGTTTTCTCCTCTTTGGATGCAAATATCTCGGCCAAACGTGCCCATTCGGAGATCGCGTCTTTCGCAAATTTCATCCTACTCAAATTTGTCATAGATTAACTATAATTTGCCAAAAATCGGAGAGCAACAACTGGGAGACCTCCCTTGTAAGTAAATTTGTCTTCAAATTTACTAATTTAGCTAAAAAAATAGGAATCAACGTCAGATCTACCGCATTTCTAAAACATCTCACAATCCACGTGGTGAAAGCTCAATAACCCCCTAAATTTGGGATTTTTAAACCTACTCTAATTTCCATAAGGGACAATAATTAATAGACTAACGAGGGAACCTCTTATAGTGCCCGGAGCTCCCAGCATAACCACTATGTACATTCGACGTAGATTTTAATACTAGTCCGAGGATGTGACAAAATTTCCGTGTCAAAATGACATTTCGTCAAGTGGTGACGACTTTAGTGACGCGCCGAACGGTCACTTTCGCCCATGCTTTCAAAAGAGGAACGCTTTTCACCACTCGCTCCTCACCTCGTCTGTCGCAACGAACCTCACAGGAATGGGAGGAAGAAGATGTCGACGGTGTAAATTTTACCTATCAAGAGATGGTGAATATTCTTAACTTCTACAATCGTGCCAAAAAAAATAAATTAGAAAAGACAAGGCGTAGGTACAGTAAAGTTCGTGATTATAAATCCATCCATCGTATGCGAAATTATGTCGAAAAAATGGGTTGAGATTTAAGTGAGATGAGTGACGAGCGAGTGGTGGAAAGCGTTCCTCTTTTGAAAGCATGGGCGAAAGTGACCGTTCGGCGCGTCACTAAAGTCGTCACCACTTGACGAAATGTCATTTTGACACGGAAATTTTGTCACATCATCGGACTAGTATTAAAATCTACGTCGAATGTACATAGTGGTTATGCTGGGAGCTCCGGGCACTATAAGAGGTTCCCTCGTAAGAAGTAACAATATTTCGCAATATTATCGTCCCCACCAACCTAGTTCCGCCGCCACTGTCACTACCACTACCTTTCGAGCATAACTTTCACCCAGCCGCCCTCCGGCACTTAAATAATACCACGAATTACTCACTTTTCCATGCAAACAGAGCTTAATGTATGTTTTCCCCACTCTAAATTACTCCTCGAAACAGAGAGGCTCGAGACACACGTATTTTTTCTATTGATTCTTCGTCTCTTTCTCCTCCCAAAGAGAAAGTCAATCTCGAGATGTATGTATCCATTAAGGAATTGATAACAAGACGACCAAGAAAAAGGAACCATCTTGTTGAATAAATACGATAAAAAAATCAACATTTTTTCAACAGCAGTGCAAACATTATGTTCACATCGTACTTAACAATTGTCCTCACGATATTACACAAAACTCTACTTGAGAAAGATTGTCAGGGGCGGTGGAACGTAGTTTGGGGACAGTGGAAAAATATGTGGGATTGTGCAATTCAGGGTATTCCGACCCAGGGTTTTATTGGGTTGGGTTTTTTAGGTTTTAATGGGTTTTAATGGGTTGTTAACGAATAAAACCCATTGGGTTTTACCATGTTAAATGGGTTTTATTTGGGTTTTAATGGGTTTTATTCGGGTTTTAATGGGTTTTAACTGTGTTTCAGCTTAAAACTATATTCTAAAAGCTGAAAACAGCTGTCGTACGTTAGACGAAGTTGTTTCATGGCAGCTAAGCAGTTTATTTGATTAATACTGTAAGTTTTAAAAACCAGGAATAAATGAGCGAGTGCCATTACAAGTTTCAAGTGACAAAAATATTTAAAAATAATAATTTCGGAACGAGGTATGTTTAAGTGAGCATACATAATTTAATTACATTTAATTTACATTTTGCTGTCATAATTAATACTTTTTTCCCGAATACTTCTTCTCATCTCAGCGAATAAATTAAACAAAATACTGTAGTATTTTTTTAATTTATAAAGTTTTTTAAAATGTTTCAAGGCGATCTTAATTATCACCTCTGGAAAAATCGAGTACTTATGGACAACGAAGTACCTTATTATGAGCAAAAGAAGTGTGTCTGTAAAAAGCACTTATTATATTCTCAATACATACGTACTTTCATTGTTCATAAGTACTCGATTTTTTCCAGAATTGATAATACACGTTAAGATCGCATTGAAATATTAAATTTTAAAAACTTTTAAACAACTTGGATTTCATTATGATGAGAGGAAGTATTCGAGAAAAAGGTAATATATATTCTCATAAAGTATTAAACTATGATCAGTTAAACAGGACTATTTCGAAACGGATACAAATTCTAACATGGACAAGTAGGATTTGCATATTAATTGAAATTGGATTGCAATAGTAGTGAAAATTTTTGTTCAATGTATTACTTATGTAAAACCTAATAAAACCCATAAAACCCATTAAAACCCAAAAAACCCATTAAAACCCATTAAAACCCCTGGGTCGTTACTTTTTGATTAAAACCCTGGGTTTTTCCGAACCCTGGTACAATTTGATTAAACTCTTACTTAGCAGAGACTGGAAAAATACTTGGTCAAAATGGACACCATTTTGAGCTCAGTACTATTCCCAGGGTTTGGATTTTCAGGGGTGTTACACCCACAAAAAGGCGTGAATCTACGTGGAGAAAGTCTTTCGAAAATACGTGTTTTGTTAAGAAATTAGCTTTCTGTCGAAATACGGAATTTTTTAAATCTCGCGAAAACAATGCGGCAATTCACGCAATCACCAGGTATAATTCGTAAAATTTGTGCGTTTTGTACCATAATTTACAAACTTTACAAAATAAAGATCCCTGATCAGAGCAAGTTTACAAAATTTTGCAAAGGTTTGTGAATTGTCTCATTAACTTCTAATTTCTTAAAAACCATTTCTAAAATTAAATTTCCCAAAATATAATCAAAATTTTCTAAATCATAAAAATGAGTGCAAATAATAAAGTCAATTTCTACTTACATTTTCTACTAAACCCCTTCATATTCCATGCAATATTTTGCCCACCCCTGCCAATTTTTCGCATGTCCCCATCTCTCTCTCCGCGTCCCTTGGCCTCATACGTACATATTACACAAGCCCATTAACAATTGTCCCGATATTACGCAAAAAAGAACCATTTTCTCCACCACTCTCCGAAATAATGTGGTATTTACCGACTCGATTTATTTGTGTATTTAGCTTCCTTTCTTCTTCTTCTACTACTTTCTCTTCTTCTTCTTCTTGTTTAAGGAAATGATAAATCAATGAAATTCGGTATAAGTAAGTCTTATACAAGAAAAGTTAAATTTAATCCGCTCGTCACAAGAAACGAAACGCGATATGAAAACAGAGACAAGTTTTTCGGGTGAAAGTAAGTAACCACTTGGAAGAAATAACGGGAAGAAAGTGGTTTCTTGAAGCTATTTTGATCTTCAAGAAATGTCAAAGGGCGCCCCGGCGCTGTAAATACTTAATACAGCGCGTCGCTAGATGGCGCATATTCCGTGCACTTTCTCTCAGTTCCTTGCACCTCGCATTTCTTGCGTTTTGTTTCCTTTCCACTATACAAAAATATAGCAAACCTGCAAGAAACGTAACACTGAATGCAAGAAATAATTGGGAGAAAGTGGTAATTATTTGAAGCTGCAAGAAATGCAGGGCGCAAGAAATTCAAACCCGCCGCTGTAAATATTTCATACTGCATGTCGCTAGATGGCGCATATTTCTGACACTCCCCTGCAATTTATTGTAGTTTTTTGCACCTCGGATATCCTGTTTTTCTTGATTTGCAAGAAATCTCCTAAACCCCACAAGAAATGGGTTTTTGCAGCTATTTTTACCCTGCAAGAATGCAACGCGCAAAGAAATTCCTTCCCGCCGCTATAAATACCTCATACGACGGGTGGCCAGATGGCGCAGTTTCTAGCACCTCGTATCTCTTGCGATGTTTGTTTTGCA